TACTAGGTTTTTATCTATTAAGATTTCCCTAGCAATAATAGGTTTTACCTTATATAAGGTTATCCTATAAATAATTATTATAACTATAGACTTTTCCTACTATAGGTTTTTCTATTAGTATATACTTAAGGATTTTTTTCCTAAGAAAGAATAGGTTTTTATATATCCTATTAAGGTATAAGAATAGTTTTCCTAAATTAGGTTTTTACCCTATATATATACTACTATAAATAAACTAGTAAAGAGTATATAAATCTACTCTTTAAGGGAGGCTATAAGAAATAGTATTCCTACTATAAATAAAGCAGCTATAATATACTCTCCTAATTATATAAGCTAATAAGTAGTATATTAATTATAGATAAAATCCTATATTATAGAGTAAGAATCGCTCGTTATTTTATATATTATTATGCATTAAATAGGTTGCCGGTTATCGTATAACTAAGAATCGTAGAAATAGAGCTAGCTTAGAATACTAGCTAAGACCTCTTAAGAATACCGGTACGACTAACCTCCTTTAAACACGAATATTAGTAGAACTAAGACACTTCTTAATATACTCGAGGTATTACTAAATTCCTTAGTCTTAAGGCTATACGGCAGCCTAAATCTAGTCCCGAAAGGTTCTTCCGTTTAGCTATAATTATCTATATAAGATAGTATATCCGCTAGTAGATAAAGAGAGGATTATTAACTTTAATACCTCTTCTATATACTAATATACTACTAATAAATTTCGTTGAAAATCCTACCTTATACTCCTTCTTCCCCTCTATTACGTAGTCTTACGTAATTCCTTAATTTCCTAAAATTCCGCTTTTGCTTATATACCTTTAGATTATAATTATAGGAAAGTAGACTAAAAGGTATTTTTAAAATACTTAGCTAAGAAGGAATAGGACCTTCTTAAAGCTATAGAGAGGGCTATAAAAAGAGATAACTTAAAAGGGATAGCTTTATTTTTAATAAGAACCTTTATAGAGGCTTTAAACGTAGCGATACCGAAAAAGAGGCCTTATAAGGGATCTAAGCCTTAGTAGACTAATAAGCTAACCTACCTTTAAAAAGCCTTAAGCCTAGCTTAATAGGCTTATAGGCTAGCCTAGGATAAGGAGAGCTAAAAGAGCTTTATAAAGGCCTGAAATAGCTTTAAGTATACTATTAAGGCTATAAAAAAGCAATACTAAGAGAGTTTCTTAATAAAAGTAATAAGAAAGGATATCTTTATAGCCTTTTCTTATACTAAGGCTAGAGCTAACCCTACCCTTCTTAGTATCTTATATATAAAAAAAGGGATAAAAGTAAAAGCTAATACCTTTATAGAAAAATATAAGGCCTTCCTAACGACCCTTTTCCTAACCTTAGACCCTAGCCCTAGCCCCCCCCTTAGCCCCCCTTAGAGCTTAGAAAAAGAAGAGCCTCTAGGCTATATAAGTAGTAAGGGTATAGATAAGTAAGACTAGCTAGAGCTAAAGGACCCTAAGATTAAGAGGGCTATTTTTAGCTCTTTTAATAAGAAAGCCCTTAGCTTAGACTCCCTTAGCTTCCTCCTTATTTAATACGTATATAAAGCTATCCTTATAGTCTTTAATAGGGCCTATAAAGCTTTATTTAACTAAGGATACTACCCTAAGGTATAAAAGGAAGCTATAAGAATTATACTTCTTAAGTAAAATAAGCTAGACTATACTATCCCTAAGGCTTATAGGGTTATAAGTCTATTTAACTACTTAGGAAAGGTCCTTAAAAAGCTATACGCTACCCGGCTAAGCTATTTAGCTAATACGGCCGGGCTTTTAAACCCTATATAGCTAAGGGGACGAAAATAGCGGTTAGCTATAAACACGGCCTTCCTCCTTTTATACTATATCTAAAAGAAGTAGGAGTCTAATAAGAAAGCTATTACTAATACCCTCTTATTAAATATAAAGGGCGCCTTTAATTTTATATTAAAGGAATAGCTTATAAGGGTCCTAAGGGACTTAAACCTCCTTAAGGCCCTTATAAGCTAAGTAGACTACTTCCTTATTAAAAGGAAGATCTAGCTAGCCTTCGAGGGGTAAGTCTAGGCCCTTATAGACCTAGTAATAAGGGTGCTTTAAAGGTCCCTTATTAGCCTTATTTTATTCCTCTTATATATAAGGGGGATACTAGCGGCTAAGGGATACTAGCTATCTTATATAGATAACTTTAGTATCTTTATAACGTCGACCTCAGCTAAGAAGAACGTTTAATAGCTAGAAGGAATAGCTACTAACCTATTTAAATAAGCTAAAGACTAAGGGGTCTACTTTAACCCCTTAAAGATAGAACTTATTTACTTTAATAGGCAATAGCAGCCTATTTTAAAGGGTATAATAGTAAGAGACTTATTTTTTAAAGTAAAGCCCTTAGTATAGTAGCTAGGGGTCTTTTTTAATTCTAAGCTCTTATTTAAATAATATATTAAGAAGAAGGTAGCTTCTATATAAGCTACCTTTAAAAGACTATCCTACTTAACCTTTATATAAAAAGGCCTATTATTTAAAGCCTTTAAATAGCTTTACTAGGCCTATATAACCTTTATAGTAGACTATAGGACCTAGCTTTAGTATAAGGGGCCTAAGACCCCTAAGAGCTTAATAAAGCTTTTTTAAAGGCTCTAAAACTAAGCTCTTTTAAAGGTCTTAGGGGCCTTTAAAGGATCCCTTATTAAGGCTTTAAAAGCTAAAGCAGCCCTACCGCTACTAAAGGTATAATTTAAAAGGGTATACTTCTCCTATACCTTCTAGACCCTATACCTTTTACCTAGTTACCCTATAAGGCAAGCTTACGACCTAGCTATATAGGACGACCTCGCTAACTTAGGCTCCGACCTAAGGGCCTTAAGCTATATTAGGCTATATATATAGCTTTTCCGCCTCCTTAAAGGCCTAGTAGCTCTTATAGGACTTAATTATAACTTAGAAAGAAAGAAAGCTAGCTAGGAGCCCCTATAGGCCCTAGAGCCTAAGGCCTTTATTATAATAATAGAGGCCCCTAAGCTCTTAGCTAAGAAGTAGTACTAACGCCTCTTAGCTAGCCTAGCTAGCCTAAAAGACTTTAGGTTATAGCTCCTAGCCTTCTATACTAACGGCTTTAAGGGGTGCCTTAAGGGATCCTTTATAAAGACTAACGCTTACTCCTTTTACGAAATAAGCCTAGAAAATAAGCCTATTAAAGCGTACTACGAGAACCTAGGGCCCTTAATTAAAGTAGCTAACGTAGAGCTATTCGCGATACTAAGGGTCCTAGAGGACCTAGCTAGGAGCCCTCGGCCCTTAAGGCTTAGCCCCCTTAACCCCCTTATAGATACCTATATCTTTATAAATAGCTAAGCCGCTATAAGGAAGGTTATAAGTTTCTTAGACCTAGCTATATATATTAAAAGGCTTCTATTTAGCTTAAAAGCCTTTTATAACGTATAGCTATATTAGTGCCTTAGCTACCTAAGGATCTTTAGTAACGAGCTTACTAACTAGCTAGCTAAAAGAGGCTTAGGGGCCCCTCCCTAAGGGACCCCCTTAGTCTCTATTAGCTACTTATAAAGAAAGGTCCGGTAAGCTATTAAGGACTATTAGAAGGGACTCTAGGCTACCGAGGCGGCTAAAGGCCCTAGGGCTAAGGGCCTAGGTAAGTACTATATATCTATTTAAAAGACCCCCCGCCTAGCCCTTAGCTTAGAAAAGGACTCTATAGGGAGGCCTAAGCCGACCCTCTCGGCCTTTTACTAGCTCCTCTTTAAGGCTAGCTTCTTATTTTCCTTCTTAAAAAGGACTAATAAGGTAGACTAAGATAACTACCGCTACGGCTAAGGAAGGTATACGGCTAAGCACCTTATCCTAAGGCGCCTAAACTATAGGAGGGAAAGAGAGGTCCTTTACTAGACCTCTAAGAGATAGGAGGGGGCCCTTAGCCTACCTATTCTCTATAGCTCTAAGGAAGGAAGGGAAGCCCTTCTAACCTTCTTAGCTAAAATAGGGATAGGGATAGCTAAGTAGCTTAAAAAGGAGTAACCTAGGGGCTATAGGGCCCTTAGGGGGGAAAATCACCGCGCGGGAGGAACTAGACTAACCTTTCCTTTATCTTTACCTTTATAGCTACCCTTTCCCTAATTAGTTTTAAGCCCCCGGGCTCTATAGCTAGCTAGGGCTACTAATAGGGGCCTAGGCCCTTATTAGCCTTACTATAGCCCTAGAGGCTATATACGAGTAATAATATAAAAAAACTCTAAAAAAACTAGCGTCTCTATATAACGACCGTAGCTATCTCCCGCGATAACTAATACGGAGCAATCTCTATACGTCCGTTGCTCCCGCTAAGTTACTTAGTAGTATTACTAGCGTTTTTAGAACTCACCTATTACGGATCGACTTTTCTAAACTATAGTCGCTAACGATATTATTAATACTATATTCCTACTAACTAGCAATCACCCTTATCTATAAAAGCTTAGAGCTTACCTTACATCCTAGAGTCGCTAGCTTTATTAGCATTTCGCTAGCAATACCTCTCGTCCGTAACGAGTTAAACTTACACACTAGAGTCACCAGCTATATCAGTATTCTGCTAGCAATAACTCTTGCCCGTAATAGGTTAAACTTACACACTAGAGTTACCAGCTATATCAGCATGCCGCTAGCCGTCACTCTTATTGTGATAAATCGGAACTTACTCCCTAGAATCGTTAGGTATATTAGCATTCCGCAAGCAATACCTCTCGTCGTGACGGATTGAACTTACACACTAGAGTTCCCAGCTATATCAGCATCCTGCTATCTATAACCCTTAGCCCTAAGGGGTTGAACTTACACACTAGAGTCGCCAGCTATATTAGTAGTCTGCTAGCAATCACTCTCGGCTATAACGGGCGTCGCGTTATAACTTACAGTCTAGAGTCGCCAAGTATATTAGTATTCTGCTACTTAGCTGTCACTATTATCTATGGCGGCTAGGAACTTACATTCTAGAGTCGCCAGTTATATCAGCATGCCGCTAGCGATTACTCCCGTTAGTCATAGGTCGGAACTTACAGGCTAGAGTCGCCAGATATATTAGCAATCTACTAATAGTTCCTCTCGGCTGTGACTGATTGAGCTTACACACTAAAGTCGTCAGCAACGTCAGTATGCTTTCAGCAATCACTCTTATTAGTCATAGGTCGGTGCTTACAGGCTAGAGTCACCAGACAATATACATATATCAGCATGCCGCGCAGCCGCTAGCAATCACTCTTGTCCATGACGGTATGCAACTTACACACTAGAGTCGCCAGCTATATTAGCATGCCGCGAGCAATGCCTCTCGTTAGTGGCAAACTGGAACTTACACGCTAGAGCCGGCTCCTATATCAGCGTGCTGCCAGTAATCACTTTTATAATTATATAGCGGGTGAAACTTACACACTAGAGTTATTAGCTATATCAGTTCTCTGCTAGGAATCACTCTCGTCTATAACGACATAGAACATACATTCTAGAGTCGCCAGTTATATCAGCATGCTGCTGGCGATCACTCTCGTCCACGGCGGCTTGCAACTTACATCCTAGAGTCGCCAGCAGATCAACATGCTGTTTGCGATCATTCTTGCAAGCCATAAGTCGGAACTTACAAACTAGAGTCGCCAGCCATATTAGCATGCCGCCAACACACTGGGCGGCTGCAACTTACACACTAGAGTCGCCAGGTTGGTCATCATATCGCGGAGAAGTCGGCTTTGATCTTGTTGACTGCGGTATATACTTGCCTGTTCTTCCACTTTTCCAACCGGTGCTGGGCTCGCCATAGCCAATCCAGTCAACATCGTGAAAATCGCAATAAAAACCGTCATTTTAGTGGGACGGGATTTAATCATTGCTAGTCTGACCGGACTCAATCGACAATGTTAAATATAGCGTAGGAGTAAGAGCCAGATTCGCGCTTTGAAGCTGCACTCCTTTTCTCTAACAGCCTGGTCTTGCCTACTTTAAATACCCGCAGTCGGAGACTTTTTCAATGCGGATCAATGTCTTATAGTGGTATTGAAGAGCATGTTATAGACATGGCGGGCTTGAGTCATCGAGTGAAACCTGTCTAATCACCTAATCTATTCCCCGCATCCATCGTTCCTTCACCGTTTTATAAGAATCCGCAAGAGAGTATTTAACTATGGCACACTGATGAACGTCCAAGTGAAACATATAGTTATAAGAGGAGAGTTAGAAGGAAAGTGTAACAGGCTAGGCCCGCGGAAGACTCGGCTGCGCTCTCGATAAGACCCATACTGCCTAGTAGACAACGCTACTAATAGGAACTCTTCCGAAACTATGATAGAGCTAGGATACCAGCTCCGGAATGCACTTAACTTACTTATAAACTAGGGTTTTACGGTTAAGAGTAACTTATAGTAGGGCTACGATAATAAGAAGGAGTTTATAAAGTTAATCTCTTATTACTTATACTCTAGTTACTACTATCTTCTACGCGGCTTCCTTATCCCGCTATAACTCGGTTTTATAGATAGTCTTTACTCGCTCTATGTTCCGGGCATTCTTTATAACCGCTACGTTTCTTTATATCGCCTAGCTTTTATTTATCCTTACCTTACTTTCGATAGCTTACTAAATAGCACCTACCTATAGTCGGTCTCTATCTTATTTCTTATCTTATAATATATTAATAATATAATATAGCTTACTTACTAATATAGATCTTATAGTACTACTAGTTAAGAGTAGTTAGATACTACTTTATTATAGTAATAGTAATAAATATATAATAGAAGTAAAATTCTATAGTAAAGTAGCTGCTATATTTATATTAATAGCTTTAAGTTACTTATAAATATAATTTAGCTTATTACGTATTTAATAGTTAATAATTATTAAACTCTAGCTTAACTTTAAAATAGCTATTTATATATTTTTAGCTATTTATTTAACCTTTAAGATATCTTTTACTAATTATTAATAGTTATATCTTACTTTTAAAGTATTTTCTTTTTTTTTAAAAACTTAATTAAAAACTTTTAAACCCTTTTAAATTATTATTATTCTCTTATAGCTACTTTTATTACTTTTATTTACTAATATTAGTATTTAATTAAATTTACTTATTATTCTTTTTATTATTACTCTTACTTTAAAAAAGCTATTTATATTTAACTTTTTTAATAACTTATTAAATTACTTTTATTTTATAATTCTACTTTTAAATAGTAAGGATAAGTAGCTATATAGCTTTATTAATAGACCTATACTTACTATTAAGCTTATAATATATAGCTTTATTAATAGACCTATACTTACTATTAAGCTTATAATACTAGCTTATTATTAAAAGGTATAAGGGGCTAAATAATATATTAAAAGAATAAAGTTATAAAAGATACTTATAAACTTACTTATTCTATCTACTACTCCTAGGGAAATCCTTTGTCTTTTATAGACTATTGCTCGCCTACTAGTAGACTAATTAGTTAGCTTTCTAGTATATTCTATAGTGCTTAAAAATTTCTATCTATAGTATATCTTCTAGACTTAGTAGGTGGTCTAATTATAGCGTGATAGTTAACGTAAGACTATAGGTTCTAGTATAAGTTATAGATTTAACTAGAATATTCTATGCCCTACCTATTCTCGTATCGCGGATATCTTTAGAACCGCTAAGCTAAGATAGGTAATAGGGTATCCGTTCTACTTATAATTAACTTATGCAATTTATATATATTCTTATTTATTAGGATAGGCTTATCTCGACCCGCTTTTCCTAAAGGAAGCTATAGATATCTAGTAGAAGTCTTTTATCTTTAAAGGTTATTCCCTTTAAACTATATTATAGAGCCTCTTTTTACTAGCTTATTATATAGAGCCTCCCTATACCTATTATTTCTTTATAATAGTAAAATAGGAATATAAGGGTATATTCTTATACTTATATTATCGCGAAGTATAGCTTAATTTTATAGTTCTTATAGATATCCCTTAATAAGAGGGACCTAGGAAGCTAAAAAAAAACTAGTATAGAAGAAGGAAGAAGGAGCTAAAAGGAGGTATAGAAAGGAGGGTAAGGGTAAGAGGGGAAGTAAAAGTAGCGATAGCTTCTTATAGAAGTAACGAGAGATAAGATAGATATACTAGAACCGGCTAAAATAAAAGGGAAAACCTAGTAAAAAGCTTAGTAGTTAAAAGGATATTAATAGCTTTTTTAAGGAGGATCTTCTTTATTAATTAAGATACTAAATAGATATAAAGAAGGGTATTAAATAAAGGATAAACGGATAATTAAAGTAATATAATAATTACTCCCTTACTATAATTACTACCCTTATAAGAATTAAATAACTTTACCTTACTTATTTAACCTCTTATCTCCTTTTTTACCTTTATATATTTTATATATACTTTTTATATTTATTTTTATAAGAGTTATAAGCCTAGGAGGAATAGAATTCTTATACTATATAGCTACTATAAAAGGTACCTTTCTTATATTTCTTATAGCCCCCTTTTACCCTTTATATTAAAAAAGCTAATTTTTAACTAGCTTTTCTACCCTCCTTTTATAATAATATCAAAAAATAACTCTACCGCCCTTATAGTTTATAAAACAATTCTTATAAAGCCTTAAGATTAAGATAAGTAAGTAAAGGAGCTATAAGCTTAAGTAGATAAAACTATCTATAATTTAATCTTCTTTAATAAGTAGGACCCTCTTAAGCTCCCTCTTTATCTTAAGGCAACGGAATTTATAAAGGGAGCTACCCTTTTCTCTAAGCTAACCTTAGTATAGTAAAGAGCTTCTTTTACTACCTTAAGTAACTATAAGAGTTACTATAAGGAATACCTCTATAAGACGAAACTATTAACTACTATATATATAGAGATAATAAAATCTATTAGTACCGTAAGCTAATCTCTTTTTAAGAAGAAGAGACCCTTAAGTAGTAGCTTTTTCTTAAGGTATATAAGCAAAAGCGGAATTTTAGGAAATTAAGGAATTACGTAAGACTATATAATAGAGGGGAAGAAGGAGTATAAGGTAGGATTTTCAACGGAATTTATTAGTAGTATATTAGTATATAGAAGAGTTATTAAAGTTAATAATTCTATCTCTATTTCCTAGTAGACATACTATCTTATATAGACAATTATAGCTAAACGGAAGAATCTTTCGGGACTAGATTTAGGCTGCCGTATAGCCCTAAGACTAAGAAATTTCGTAATACCTCGAGTATATCTCGAAGTGTCTTGGTTCTACTAATATTTATATTTAAAGGAGGTTAGTTATACCGGTATTCTTAAGAGGTCTTAGCTAGTATTCTAAGCTAGCTCTATTTCTTTGATTCCCGATTATACGATAACTAGTAACCCGTTTAATATATAATAATATATAAAATAACGAGCGACTCTTACTCTATAGGATAGGATTTTATTTATAATTAACATACTACTTATTAGCTTATATAATCGGGAGAGTATATTATAGCTGCTTTACTTATAGTAGGAATACTATTCCTTATACTTTTAAAGCTAGAGACCTTAATAGCTCCCTCGAGGGGCTATATAACTAACTGTATTAAGAAGACCTATATAGCCTACCTAGGAGCCTTTTTTACTAAGAACCTTCTAGCCTCTTTATAGCTAGCTAAGTAAGAAGAAATCCTTAAGGAAGCTAATTAATACTTCTTAATAAAAGCTCTTTCTAGCTAGTAGCTATAATATATATCTATACTAATAAAGCCTATTAGTAATAGTTACTTAACTATCTTTTAAGAAGCTAGCTAAGAGCTAAATAAAGACGCTACTAAAGTATAATAATAAATAGTCTTATTCCTTTATAGCTAGTATTCGACCTAGATAGCTCGACCTACTATCCCTACTACTACTATAGGTCCTACTATTATAGCCCTTGCTACTACTACTACTACCCCTCTAGCTCCTTCTCCTTTAAGGGCCTTAACCTTATTATTAACTATTACCTTAGTCTTAGCCCTAGCTCCGCCTACTACTCTAGGCCTAGTCTTAGTAGTTTATTTATTAGCCTAACTAGTCCCTTAATAGACCTATTAGTCTATTAGTTAAAAAATTAAAGAACTAGTTAAATTAAAACCTTATTAAAATTAGTAATAAGGTATAAAAAAGGGGGGTTTTTAAATAAACCTTTTAAATTAAGATAAGGATTCTTTAATAAGATAATAAACTAAGAAGAATCGACCTACTTACTAAGTATATAAAAAGCCCTATTAGCTAGAAGACTACTAGTAAGTCTTTAAGGAACGTTGACTTTTTAAAATTACGCTTTTTAAAGGACTAAAAGATATTATTAAAAAGTCTCTTAAAAAGGACCTTTTATTATAAAAGAATATAGATAAGATTTAGGTTACTAGGAAATAATACCTAACGCTACTACCCTTATTCGACCTATAAATTTAAGGAAAGATTATTAGTATAGTAAATCCGGCCTTTATCTTCCTAATAAATTAAAAAGACTACTTATTAAAACCCTTTAACTATCCTTTATAAAAATTAGCTATCTTTAATTTTAGTACTTCCCTTAATATCTATAATACCCTCTTATAATTCTAGTACTTTAAGAAGGTAAAGAGGAAACACCTTAT